CACACAGTACCAGCATGTACACTAACTACTGACACCACACAGTACCAACAGGAATGTTTCCAGAACTTCTGAATAAAACTAAAAGCTAATATTCATACATGTAACTTCATTATGATGTTCATATCTTTATGTTATATGAGTGGAGGCCTCTTCCTGCTCTCAGATATGATTCATCTCTGTTATGTTGGTTCATTGTATAAATAGACTCATTCGTTCAGGTAGAATCTAGTATCTAACGTCTCACTCTGTATTATTGCATCGTAGTTAAACTGGACTCTCTGGAGCTCGTCTCATTAATAGCGTTTTCTTTGATATCATTCGTGTAGGTTTTCTGCACATTCACGTCTTGTTGTCCCTCTTGTGATGCCGTCATTAAACTCTGCAGGTTCGAGAATGAGCTGTCGATGCGTCAGTCGGTGGAGGCCGACATCGCCGGGCTCAAGATGCTGCTGGGAGAACTGAGCCTGGCCAAGAACGACCTGAGCATGCAGATCGAGAGTCTGAACGACGATCTGGCGACCATGAAGAAGAACCACGAGGAGGTACCCGGATGTTAGCATGCTAACGTTAGCCAAGAACCCATTATTAGGAGAGTTAAGTGTGGTTTAGTCAGACCGCGTCCCTGTCTCGTCTCTGACGTCCTCTCTGTCCTCCTGCAGGACCTGATGACCTCGCGGACTCAGATGAGCGGCCAGGTGAATGTGGAGGTTGACGCCGCTCCTCAGCAGGACCTCTCCAAGCTCCTGGAGGACATGAGGGACCACTACGAGAACATCACCGCCAAGACCAACAAGGAGCTGGAGTCCTGGTACCAGAGCAAGGTGGGACGATGGACTCCTTTAAGAGCCACATCACTAGAGGTTTTATCTTCTTCAGGCTTTGAGTGACTCGGTCCTCTCGTCCAATCAGACGGAGATGCTCAACACGGAGGTGGCGACCGCAGAGGTGACGATGAAATCAACCACGTCGGAGGTGAAGACCGTGAAGAGTCAACTTCAGTCTCTGCAGCTCGAGCTCCAATCACAGCTGAGCATGGTGAGGATTACTGATGTCCACGTCCATGTAGACACTGCAACAGACTCCAGGTGTCCTCTTACAGACGACAACAGACTCCAGGTGTTGTCTGTCCTCTAACTCCTCCGTCTCTCCGTAGAAAGCGTCTCTTGAAGCCCAACTCAACGAAATCCAGAACCGCTACTCCATGCAGCTGTCTGGGTACCAGATGCAGGTGACCTCCATGGAGGAGCAGCTGGTGCAGCTGAGGGCCGACCTGGAGAGGCAGGGACAGGAGTACCAGATGCTGCTGGACATCAAGACCAGGCTGGAGATGGAGATCGCCGAGTACAGGAGGCTGCTAGAAGGAGAGGGTCTCGGGTAAGAAGAAGTTAAAACCAGACTGTGAGGAACTCGACAGAGTGAGACGTCGCTGTTTTACACACAATCTCTGACACAAAGTAGAAAGAACGCAATAATTTAAAAAGTAAACTATTTCTGCAATGTCATCACTTGTTAGGAAATAGACCATAAAAATAGAAACATATAGTAAAACAGCTCGGATGTATTTCACATCATTCAAATCCTTCATTTGTGATTTCTGAGTATTTGTAAAGTTTTTGAAAATACATTTTTACACGTGGAGCTTTACTTTGAAACTGAAAAACAGATTTCTCTAACTTCCTGTGACGTCTCTCTCAGATCTTCGTCCACTTCCTCCTCCTCAACCTCCACCACCACCACCACCAAGGTCACCAAGGTCATCGAGAAGGTCGTCTGAGACCAATCGGCTGTCTGTCTGACTTATGGGGGCGGAGCCAGATCCATCAACCTATCATCTTCCTGCTTGCTCAACCTATGGTGTCTCTCCTCTTCATCACTTCTCACTCTGCTGTTAGTTACAGCAGTGAGTCAGCTGATGGTGTGAACGTTAAAGCTTCTGTCTGCTCTACGCAATAAAACTCTTCTCAACGTGTCTGGAGCGTCATTTTACTGTTAGCATAGCATGTTAGCATTCACCTCTAATGACGCTGGTATTTAGTCGGTTGTGTTAGCATTACCATGAATTCAATTTACTTTACTGTTAATGAAACATACCAGCATTGAGGTCAGTGTTTGCTCCTCACCATCTCCGTGATGTTGTGGTGTTGTGCCCACGGAGCCTTCTGATGAGGTCAGTGTTTGGATGTAGTTACAGAATCAGGCTCACTATGAGTTAATATTGGCAGAAGTCCTCAAGCCATAATTCGTATCAAGCATGTCAAGTTTAGGGCATTTGTGACAAGTTACAGCAGCTTGATGTATGACGGCAAAGCATGTAAAATGGCCACCACACCATGTCCTCACCGCTCCATGGAACCTCAAGCTCTTCATCACTTTGAATCACTACGGTCTTTAGATTGTACTGACTAACTTTGAAGTTGATGTGATAAATTATCTGGGAGGGGTTCGTTAAAGAAATGTCAAAATCCAAAATGTCCGACGTCCAGTTGGCTCTAGAGCAGGAACCCAAGAGACTCTTCTTTACGTCCACATGTGATACACGTGCCTGAGATGCACAGCGAGAGCTGCTGCGTCAAATGTATGTACTTTGTTATCTTGTACAAACGGCCAAGTCCAACAGGTTGAGCTCAGTTCTTCTGTGAAACATCTTCGTCATTAAAACACGAAAGACTGAACGAAAATGTAGCTTAAAAAAATAAAGTAATCAACTTAAATCTCTAAAAAGACCTAAAGATCTGATGAATAAAGAGACTAAAAGAATAAAAACTGAATTAAAAGATGAGACTCACACGCTCAGACTTATATACACAATATATTATATACAATATATATTATATATATATATATAAAATATATATTATATACGTATATATATAAAATATATATTATATTTGATATATATATTATATACGTATATATTATATACAGTATATATATGTATATGTATAATATATATATTATATATATATATATATTATCCATCCATCCATTTTCCACCGCTTATCCGGGGTCGGGTCGCGGTGGCAGCAGGTCAAGCAGGCCGACCCAGACCTCCCTCTCACCGGCAACATGTTCCAGCTCATTCTGGGGGATCCCGAGGCGTTCCCAGGCCAGCTGGGAGATGTAATCTCTCCAGCGTGTTCTGGGTCTTCCCCGGGGTCTCTTC